GGGAAAGAGAGCACAGCTGTTTCATTAACACAGCACTCTGGTTGGTATTTATTTTCCAGTTAAATACCAACCAGAGAGCTGCAAAGCACAAAGAGATCAGATTTTATATATATATTTTTTTACTTTATTGCCTTAAATGGAAGTTTAAAGGCAATTAGTATCACAAAGAAAACGGATCAAAACGGAAAAACATAAAAAGATAAAAAATAGAAATTGGGTGTAATCTGTCACACAACACTGTAAAGGGGATGGCACATATCTGATATAGTTCTGGACTCCAAAAAAGGGATATTTTAACTGAAAAAAGCCATGATGATAATAATAATAGTACTATTAATAGATGGATATAGTATAAGTGGGTAAGAGTCCTTTTAGCTGTAACTGGTCATATATTCCATCATGTAAACATGTTTTACTTTCCGTAACCAGACTTTCTGGTCAGTCTTCATCCAATTAATAGTAATATTTTGTCTTTCAATCATCAACAGAATATGTAATATATAACATTGTTCTGTGGTAAACAGGTGGTCAGGAAACACCTACAATAAAAATAACAAAGGGTCCACAGGAAGGTTAGAGTTTAATTCAGTGTTTTTAAGATTAATTTAAGTATTTTTAACCCTAACCCTCCAGCCTTCATAATTGTGAGAAATAACTATTTTTTTCTTGGTGAAACTTGTTTGGACTGATTGTACAAACCTATTTAACATCCACTATTTTAACATAATATTATGGATAAAGTTTAATTCAGTGTTTGCCAGATTCATTTCACTATTTTTAAATCAATGTCTATATTGCCATGAAGCAATTAGGATTTTTTTGCCTGGGATCTTCCTATTGGTGACGTAATCAAAATGGCCGACTTGGATGTGGGCGGAGTTGGATATCCGTCCTTTCGAACGCTAACCTGAAACCTCTCCTTTAGCTGAGCCAGAGGCAGAAGTTCTTCTCCATCTTCTACATGTCCATCAACGCCGGCAGCCTCCTGTCCACCCTCATCACGCCCATTCTGAGAGGTGAGCCATCACCCGCATTAAAGACGGCCATTTAGATTTTGACATTAAAAAAGAGAAAGAAACAAGAAAGAACTTCTTTATGTAACATTTTAAAAAATACAGACATTGAACGTAGCCTACATGAAACTAGAGGCCAGTCAGAAAAGATATTCCAGTGAACGGGACCATCTCAGTGTGGTGGATCCAACATGGACGCCACCTGACCAGGTAGGGTCTCACCTGACCAGGTAGATTCACCTGACCAGGTAGAGTCACCTGACTAGGTAGAGTCACCTGACCAGGTAGTGTTTCACCTGACCAGGTAGAGTCACATGACCAGGTAGAGTCACCTGACCAGGTAGAGTCACCAGACCAGGTAGAGTCACCTGACCAGGTAGATTCACCACTATGTTTACCTGGTCAGGTAGGGTCTCACCTGACCAGGTAGGGTCTCACCTGACCAGGTATGGTCACCTGACCAGGTAGAGTCATAATATTGTAATTGCAACATAGTACAGACTACGGACTCCAGACTCTGGTTTTGGGGCTCCGGTCTCTGCCTGAGGTCCCCTGACCCCTGACCTCTGACCCCTGACCTGGTGGTCCTGACCCCTGACCCAGTGTTCCTGACCCCTGACCCTTTGGTCCTGACTCCTGACCCGGTGGTCCTGACCCCTGACCCCTGACC